GAATCACATGGCACTGTCGCTCCTTCCAGTATAGTGGAGCACACATCGAGGATGACAGTGTCGCTCGAAACGACAACAATTGTGACATTGTCTCTCACAAAGACCCCGTAAAGGCCGCCACAAAGCAACTCGCAAACCGCACCCTGGCGTAACCGCACCAATTGTAGTCGCCGATCTTGTGAGATTTAAAACGACTTGCTGAGCTGAGACGGAATGTGATATAATGATCTTGAATGGGATGTAGTGAAAACTAATGAGATTTAATACGACATGTTGAGATTCATGGAATGGAATGGAATTGAATGGAATGAAAATGCGCAGTCAGGAGGGGGGTGGGGGGGCGCTGGTAGCGCTCGCAGCGAAGGCCGGGGGGCGCCGCAACGAGCGCCGCCCTCGCGCGGGGACCGCTGCAGGCGACCAGCCCCTCGGCGACGTTGCGGGCGAGTCTGCGCGCTTCCAAAGCGTGCCATCCTGCCCGGGCGGGCGTTCCGAAGCGCCCGCCGCGTTCGACGGCCCGCCGCAACATCCGGCTCCGCAGAGCGAGAAACATCCACGCGGACTCCAGAGGGTCGGGGGCGCCACCGAACACCTCTGAGAAGTTTCGCGCGGCATGGAGGACGGACAAAAAGTACTTTGCCCTGATCGGCCCTGGACGCCAACGGCGCGGAATGGCGGGCCGCGACGTCGCTGGCGGCCCATGGCACGGGCGGCTCAGCGCACGGCGCGCCGATGAAAGGAGCGCGACCTACGCGATACCCCCGCCCTCTACGTCCCCGCATCGACCCACGAATCTCCAACGCCTGGAAACTCGGGCGAAGAGAACTACACACATGCACCGATCCTGGCAAGGCCCACCCTTGACCCAGGATCGGTGCGCATGCCTTCCTGGCCAAGGTAAGGGGGCGTATGCACCGATCCTGGGCTCAGGATGGGCCTGGCCAGAATGGGTGTATGTGCACAGTTCTCTTTCCTGCGCCTGGAAGCGCTGGTGGCCTCTCCCGCGCTGGCGGATCCCGCGCTGCGCACTCTCGGCCAATTGGCCACGCGCCCTCTGCGTCGGCGGGGGGCGGGCGCGAGGGCGGCCCGCCGTGGCCATGTCGAGCTCGGGCCGCGGGGCCGGGGAGAGTTGACTGCACGCCGTCAGCGCGGCCGGGTGAGCTCGGCCACCCTCGGTGGAGGGCGACGAGAGGTCGAGGGGGGAGGACTGAAGACGGGGGGGGGGCCAAACTAGCCTCGCGAACGTCGGCGCCCAGCTGCTCGACGCGGTCGCGCACCCGCGCTGCCGCGGCAAGCGCGCTGCAAGCCCGGGCGGGGCGCCCCTCGCAAGACCGCAGCAGGTCCTCCCCAACAGGCAGTCGCGGGGCCCCGTGTGGGTGACGTCCCACACGTTGCTTCGGGCGCGTTTTCCTGCCCCCCAGTCCCCGTCCTCCCTTTCTCTCCCCGCGTTGGCGAACAAACAAATAAAGCGGCGCCTGCCGTCGGTAACAAACAGAACACCGAACGCCGTCGGACGCCTTGAGCCATGTCCCCCCCCCCTCCCCGCTCTCCCCCCCCCGCCCCCCGCCCACCCTCGCGGAGCGATGAAGCCCCTGGCAAATGTCGGCATGGAGCGCGGGGCCCCTTCTCCCCAAATCCCGTGGATTCGAAAATAACGGCTCTAAAATTTGCATGTTTTTTTCCGGCGCTGGAGGCCGTTTTCGGGCCCCGGGACCGTCGAAACAAGGCTCGCTCGAAACGGAAACCTGAACCGCAGGAGAACCGATACTCGCTCGAAGATATCAACCGTCGGAGGTCGAAAAGTGAATCTCCGAAATACGGAGAAACATATTGGCCAGAACTTTGGGCTCATCGGGGGCAGCGTCGGATCTTCGAAGGCCCCGCTAGGGCGTGCGGATCGCCGATGCTCTGCACGCGCGACGCGCTCTGCACTCGTGCTGTGCACTTCTGACGCTCTGCGCAAGCACAACTGGGGACACCAAAAAGTACGGATACCGCTGCTCCCTGGACCTGTCCCAGGGTGCGTTCTGACCAGGATGTCGAGGCGAATCCGGCCGTGGGGGCCATGGCCTCGCAGGAGACCGAGAAAGGGGATCACGGGCGACGGTGTCTGAGCATCGAAAAGGCGACGCGAGGATGCCAGGGGGCGCCGCGGAAACCAAAGAAAAAGGAAGCCCGCCGCGAACTCGACCACCTATCCACTTCCTTCTCCTCCTCCTCCTCCTCCTCCTCCTCCTCCTCTCCCTCCTCCCCCCGCTCCTCCTTCTCATCCCCCTCGCCGTCGTTATCAGATCTCTCCCCCTTTCTGATTCCGACAGGGGGGGGGGGAGAGGGGGGGCATGTCCCCCCGTGCGAATGCGGGCGCCGTTCCGACGCCACGCGCGCTCACTCCCATGCGCGTTGCCACGAAGGCAACAGAAAGGAACAACGTAGAGAGAGAGAGAGAGGGAGAGCAATAATGATAGAGAGAGGGAGAGAGACAGAGAGAGAGAGAGAGAGAGAAACAAGAAGGAGAGAGAGAGAGAGACTCACAGGGGAGGCAAGGTTAGCACCCGCCGCAGAGAAGGGCGCGCGCCGATGGGATAACGCTGCGCGCCCATCGCGCGGAAACAACCAGTGAGAGACAACGGACCTGGAAAGGGTAGTGAGGGGGCGTGCAAGAAGCGGATCGCCTGCCAAACCGCTGCCCAAGGCCGCGTTGGCAAGTCGCCGAAAGGCGTCTGACCCAAGCGCGCGGGTCCAACTCTCAAGCGCCAATTAAACTGCACTAAAGTCCATTAAACCATGATTTGAAAAACCATTGGGTTTGAAATGAAGCTCCCGTGCCTGGCCACCTAAATCGTCATCGTCATCATCATAATCAACATAATCATAAGCATAATTGTCATCATCATCATCAACATCATCATCATCATCATCATCATCATCATCATCATCATCATCATCATCATCATCATCATCATCATCACCATCATCATCATCATGATGATCATCATCGAAATCATCATCATCATCATCATCAGCATCATCATCATCATCATCATCATCATCATCATCATCATCATCAACATCATCATCATCATCATCATCATCATCATCATCATCATCATCATCATCATCATCATCATCATCATCATCATCAAATGACATCGAACATTGATCAAATAGTTCCTCTGGGCCTGATAACCGTCATAGTACTCATAAATATATGGGAACTGGGCGCCGGCGGTAAACCGTCATCCTGGCTACCGCTGGGGACCTCGTAGAGAGAGCCGGCTCAGGAGGGAGCATCAGCCCGGAATCGCCCACCGCGAGAGCGCAAGTTCCTGGGAGGGGTCGGCCATTGGGTGCCCCCCATCGGCGAGGAGTAGGCGATTGGGGATCCATGCGTCCTCCCCTGATGAACGGGGCCCAGGGACACACACAAAGAAATGCACACAACTCCCAAGATTCCCCCTATTTTCTCACATGTTCCGGATTTTCGTCTTCCCTCCCACCTCCCCATACGTTCCCATATTTTCTGGGGGATTGGCGATTCATTGTGCCTGTGTGGTCTTCCCTTCCTAACCTGAGCCCCTCCTATTTGGCACAACGGGTCCTGAACACTGGCGCCTTCTACGAAGGCCAGTGCTTCGTCCTCGGTCGTCGTCCGAGGGTCCCGGGGCCCCGCTCGAGGGCCACAGAAGCGCTGGGAAACACCTGAAGATCGCCTCGCCATCGCTCGGACGTGCGTTGCCCGCGCATGTTTCGGCTTCGCGCGCTGATCTTTCGCAGGATGATCCAGGAATTCTCCTCGAGGGTCCCCGCCGGGAAAAACATGCACACGTCCGAGCGATGCCAGGCCTCCGGGCCATGCTCCATGCGGTGGAACAAGTCCTGCATGGCCGCCTGAGGCCGCTGCCCGTGGGCGAAAGACATCTCGGCGGCGTGCGATGGGGGGAAGTGAGGAGGAGGAGGCCTTCTCAGAGAGTTCGCAACGCCCCCGGCCTTCCGAGAAGTGTTCTAAGCCTTCCACGAAGACGCAGGAAACTCCTAGTAAGGCCGGCGGGCTTCTGAGAAGCCCCGCCGCCTTCTGAGAAGGCCTTCTCCTTCTCACTTCCCCCCCTCGCCCGCCGCCGAACATCTCCGTATCCGCCGCCTCGCAAGCCGGGCCCCTGGGCAGCGACCCCGCGGATACGGGACGCCTCGTCGCGGATGCCCCCGCGCGGAACGTGCAGTGGAGGCCCGTCCATAAGAAATAGGTCGGGCGTCCCCTTACAGGCGTATTTTGGGCGAAAAATAAGAAATTGTCAAAACATTTCAAAACATTTCAAACACTGCCCAACAATTGGTCGACAAACCGTCCCCTGACTAATTTTTACTATTTTTGAATGTTCCTCCTGTAGAGGGACAGGCCCGACTTAACACAAGAAACCCAAGCCTGAGATCCCAGGACGTCCATTGATTTTTGGTGAGGAAACGTCGCGCTTCCCGTGGCAAGACCATCGAAACCCAAGAAACCCACGGGGCACCCTGGAGGAAAGCAGGGTGCTTCTTGGCATGGGCCTCCACTGCAGCCGTGCGACCGCGCAGCCGCGGCATCGCGCCCCGGCATCCAGGCCGCAAGGGCGCGGATGCGCAGCTGCTCGCCGCTGCAATGAGGTGCCCCGGCCCTGCAGGCGCCCCCGACCTTGGCACTGCCCGGGGAGAAAACAGAGCGTGACTAGAGGGAGAACGAAAAAACATAACATAAACCTTTGGAGGTCCGCGCGGCGGACTTCTTGGATTCGCGCCAGACCCCCCTCCCCGGCGCGCGGAGCGCGCCAGGGGCGGCACCGGAGGCGCCGCCAGGGGGGCCCCGGCGCGGATCCAAGGAATCCAAGCGGAGCGCCACGAGTTTTCTTCTTCTGCCGATGGGGCTTCCCTTCTTCGAGCGGAGTGCCAAGAACTCCGCGCGGAGCGCCCAAAGGCCTATGCTCACGTGGATTCTCCCCCTCCGAGCGACGCGTTCGCCCCCCGGCGGCCTGCAGGGCGGTCAGCCAGGCGGGCACGGGCTCCTCCGGCCTCTCGTCGTCCTCGCCGGCCTCTCCCGCGAGGGACGCGAGGGGGGAGGGTCGGCACGGGCAGGCGCGCGGCGGCTCGCCCGGAGGGCGGACGAGCGGACGAGCGCTGAACGCCGGCGTCGTGCGCGCTCCTCCGGGGAGCTCGCCGGGGGCCCAGCGAGGCACGGCGCGGAGGCCGTGGCCTCGGCAGGAAGGTCTTCGCTTGCAGACTTGTGAGACGTGTGCCAGCTCGCACGATGGCCACCGCTCTGTGCACACAGCGGCCCGGATCCATCGCAGGTCGCCCGTGCTGTTGTGCTCGCAGTGTCGCCAAGGAGCGGGCATCGCTAGAGGCCTCCTGGATGGGGTCCGAGTAGATGGGGTCCAAGGATCGCGCCGCATCGCCAATGCATCGCCGATGCATCGGCGATGCATCGGCGACGTCGGCGCTGCATCGGCGACGCTGGTGTGGTGAAACACGGGATCCCCAGAGTGTTTTTGACTATGTTTTCGAATATTCCTCCTGTAGAGGGACAGGCCCGACATAATGTCGGGGCGTTGACCCAAGGAAACCTAAATAAGGAACGAGGCCCTTTTTTTCCCATCAGTGAAAATTCGATTCCCCATCGAAAACCTAAGGAAAACCTAAGGCAAGCTGTGAAACAATCAAGGAACACTGGGCCCCTCCCCAACGAAAAGGGTTCCTTCTTCAGCGCCCCGACTGTAATGCACGGGCAGTCTTGGAAAAGTGAAAATCCTTACCCTGCGGGTTGCCTGTGGACTCCGCCGCTGCTCGCAGGAGGCGACGCCCGGGGCAGACGCCAGGGTCTGAGGCCCCCTCTGGGGCCCCAGGTCTGGCCCGCTCCCCAGTCGGCTGCCACAGCATCTCCGATTCGATGTGAGTGGACCGAGACATGATCGCGTCGCAAAGAAATAAGGACGGGAGGTTTTTGGCCATCTTCGGCCTCGGGGGGCCCTCGCCGGGCCTCGGGAGCGTCAAAAAACGGCTCAGGATGAAAAACGAGTCCCGGGGAAAGGGTCGGGACTTCCAGGGACCCCGTGCTGAGAAAATCAAGACGTCGCATGTCTGGGGACCGAACGTCTGGCCGGCGCCCATGCAGTGCTCATCCCTGGGCTGATCTCCGGCTGCATGCAAGAGTGCCCCAGGTCTGGCCGAAAAATCCTCGCGTGCCTCCGAAACGGCGACCACGACATCTCCGATTCGAGTTGAGTCGACCGAGCGTTCGGCCGGCGCCCATGCAGTGCTCATCCCTGGGCTGATTTTCGGCTGCACGCAGGAGTGCCCCACGGCAAGAGTGGCCTTGGATGCGCGACTTTCGAGGGCCGCGGGAATGCCGAGCCAGAGCGCGCAGAGCGCTGCGATATCCCATTGCGCTCCATCGTCTGGGGACCCCATCGTGCCCGCACCAAAGGACGCTCCTGCGAGAGGTCCATCTTAAGTGTAGCCGATGCTCTGCCCCTCTAAGAAAAAAAAACGCCAGAAACATAAACTTTGGGAGCTCCGCGTGGACTTCTTGGATCTGCGCTGGACCCCCTCCCTGGCGCGCGGAGCGGCAGCGCCAGAGGCGCCGCCGGGGGGGCCTGGCAGGATCCAAGAAATCCGCGCGGAGCGCCAAAAGTTTATGTTTACTATGCCGCTTGTTCTTTCTCGAGATCTGCCCCTCTCGCCTCTGCCCTGGGCAGGAGAGCCCAGAATCGAATCGGCAAGTCGGATCGGCGATCGAAATGCATCGGATCGGCGGAAATCGGCAACCGAATCGGGAAAAGTCGAATCGGCGGGAACCGGCAGATTTGTACATAGGTCTCCATGGAATGAAACATCGGAGCCCAAACCGGACTCCGGAATCGAATCGCATCGGAATCGGAAACCGTCGACATCGAATCGAATTGAAGCGGAGAAAGCGACACGAGAGCCCTGGATCTGCCCCTTCTCGCCTCTGCACTCGGGGCTAGGCCGGCGGCAGCCTGGCGCACTGCAGGCGGCGGCGGGGGCATCAAACATGAGGTCGGGCATGTCCCCCAACAGGCGGATTTCGGAGGAAAAAGAAAAGAACAAGGCTCAACAAAAAAATACTCAGAACAAATCGTCCCCAGACCATTTTTCGACTACTTGTGAATACTCCCCCTGCAGAGGGACGTACCCGACTTAGCTCAAGCACCCGACCTCTCTCTGGGAATGCGGTCCGCGCAACAAAAAAAAAGGTCCGGGCGCGGCCAGCCGCCGGCAACGAGGAGCCTCTCCCAGAGTCCCCAAGAAGGTGAGGGCGCCCAAGCTCCGACACCTTCGATCCTCGAATTCGACGTCGACGACAACAACGTCGATGACGACGGCGGCGCGAAACCGACGACGATGCCGAAGACGACGCGAAATCGTCGATGACGACGACGACGACGACGACAGCGAATACGATGGTGACGCGACGATGGCGACGAACACGGCGGCCCTGACGACGCCTGCGGCAACGAAGGCGACGACGGCGCGACGGCGACGACCACGGCGGCGACTCCGCGGCCACGGCGACGGCGATCTTCGAACCCGACGACGACGAGGGCCTTCGAAGTCGGCGGCGACGACGGTGCGACGACGAGGACGACGACGACGCCGTCGCTCGCGGCAGCCTCCCGCCGCTGCTGTGGCCCGCCGCCGGCTCGGCGCCGGAGGCCCGGGTGCGCGCCGAAGCCTCGCGGAGGCGCCGCCGCCGCCGCCAGCGCTTCGGCCCGGAGTCGTCGGGCAGCGCCCAGGCGCCCAGACCCCCTGGTCCTCCTCCTCCCCCTCCTCCTCCTCCTCCTCCTCCTCCTCCTCCTCCTCCTCTTCCTTCTCCATCTCTCCGCCTCCTCCTCCTCCTCCTCCTCCCTTCTCGTCCTCCTCCGCCTCCTCCTCCTCCCCTCCTCCTCGTCCTCCCTCCTCCTCCTCCTCCTCCGCGTCCCCCTCGTCCTCGTCGTCCTCCCTCGTCCTCGTCCTCCTCCTCCTCCTCCTTCTCCTCTTACTCCTCCCCCCCTCCTCCTCCTCCTCGTCCTCCTCCTCCTCCTTCTCCTCCTTCTCCTTCCCCTCCCCCTCCTCCTCCTGCTCATCCTCCTCCTCCTCTTCCCACTCTCCTCATCCTCTCCCCTCCTCCTCCCTCCTCCTCCTCCTCCTCCTCCTCCTCGTCCTCGTCCTCTCCCTCGTCCTCCCTCCTCCTCCTCCTCTCCTCCTCCTCCCTCCCTCCCTCCTCCTCCTCCTCCTCCTCCCTCCTCCTACTCCTCCTCCTCCCCTCCTCATCCGCGTCCTCCGCGTCCTCCTCCTCCTCCTCCTCCTCCTCCTCGTCCTCCTCATCCTCTTCCTCGTCCTCGTCCTCGTCTCGTCCTTCGTCCTCTCTCGTCCTCGTCCTCCTCCTTCTCCTCCTCCTCCTCCTCCTCCTCCTCCTCCTCCTCCTCCTCCTCCTCCCCCTCGTCGTCCTCCTCCTCCCCCTCGCCGCCGTCGCCGCCGCTGCGGGTCCCATGAGTATGCACCGCTACCAGCTACTTTCACCCTCCTTCCTCCACCCTTCCTTCTAGAGACACACTAGAACGATATGTCCTCCTTGGAGGCGCGCTCCGACCCGAACATATCATCTACATACCTATATTGTGGTAGATCGCTTTCCGAGCGGTGTCGCCAGAAAGCGCCCGCCACGACGCATTTACTCTAAGATGGTTCGTTGCGCGAGTCGCCCCTGGGGGGGCGACGAACACCTTATTAGTATGTTGGGGTGTCGCCAATCCTTTTCCCCTCTTCTCTGGGAGAGGGAGGGGGATAGGGAGGTGGTAGTGGTGTATATGTTTGGTCACTGTATCGCTTGAAGCAAGGGGGCCTCCCGGGGGCGAGGGGGCCGAAGAGCGCTCCGCGGCACACAGATCCCAATACAGAAGCATGCCTCCTGGGGCCGCCTGGGATCGAAGAGGCCGAAGAGCGCTCCACGAACAAAGAAGACCGGCCCCCGAACGGAGATATCCCTGGAACGTCCCGGCGCGTCCTGGGGCTCGCGCGTGTAGCGGCAAGACCGCTCTGACGGATTCCCCCTGCGCTGCCGAATTGCGAGGGAGTGACGAACGAAACGGCCGTTCGGGCATCCGCGAGCAGCCGTAAAAATGCTCTGAAGGACCACCCTGTGAAAGGTTTCCCCAGGGACCGTAGGCGGCGACCCGAGGAGGAGGAGGAGGAGGAGGAGGAGGAGGAGGAGGAGGAGGAGGAGGAGGAGGAGGAGTCGAGCGTGGCGAAGGAGGAGGAGGAGTGGGAGGAGGAGAAGGAGGTGGAGGTGGAGAGGGAGGGGAAGGAGGATTTGGAGGAGGAGAAGGAGGGAGGAGGAGGAGGCGGAGGAGGAGGAGAAGAAGGGGTCGCCTAAACTCTTCGGAGAAACCCTCCACAGCCTTGTGGTGCTTTCCTGCGAAGGAGTGCCTCGGGCGAAGAGGCTATGCCGGCATCCGCGAGCAGCAGCAACCTGGCTCTGAAGGACCCCCCCCGTGTAGTGCTCAGAGAAAGTCTCAAGCGAAACGACCGTTCTGGCATCCGCAGGTAGCGGCAAAACTGCTCTGAAGGATCCCCCCTGTGGTGCTAAATTCCGAGGAAGTCTCAGGCGAGAACGCACTTCATGAGTTTCGGGCCCTCTCTGGTCAAGGCCTCTCGGAGTATATGCTGCGGACGGATCGCACGGGGCCGGTGCTGTTATTAGGGGGCCGGTTTGGGCGGAGCACCGAAACGCCTGAGCGTGAGCATCAACTTCAAAAACAATGCAGCCGGCGTCGAGGCGAGAGCGCCAAAATGCCTGTAGGGGGCGGAACCATAATTCTTGATATTTACTTACCTGTCGACGCAATGCAACAACGAGAAGAATCCGCGCAGCGGAATGGCACTCCAGTCACACCCCCAGAGGCGATGAATGACCGTTCGGCCCCCTCGTTCTGATATACACCGAAGGATGCGGGCATGTTGTTCAGCGTCTCGCGCTCTCAAGCCTAGCCGAAACATGTCCACTACACACCGCGCGGCGGCATGTTTCTGCCACCGATCTCGATATGTCGAGCCGCCTTGGGGTTCCTGGAGGATGGAAAGGAGGGGGATGGGAAGGCGCGGAACCACCGGGGAAGGGGTGGCGGAGGCGGGGGGGGACGGGCGGAGGGGAGGCGAGAAGGTGAGAGGAGGTAGGGGATTTGGACGAGAGGCTGGAAGAGATTGAAGGATGACGAGGTAAATAGGCAGGGAGGGAGGGAGGCGAGAAAAAGAGGAATGAAAAGGGATCAGGAGGGAAAAAGATGGAACACAAAGGGATGAAGCGGAGAAAGGAAAGGGGAAAGGAGGGCGGGGGTCAGTCTAACAGCGAGGGGGGATTTGCTGATGAATGAGAACGCTGAATTCTGAAACTCCAAGGGGATGACGGCCTCAGCCCGCTTCGCGCCACCTGCTCAATGCACTACCGCGTGCTCAACTGACCACAAAATTGGGCGACTTTGCAAAGCCCGAAGGCACTGCTTCGTCGCAACAACTGGTTCCTTCAAGCGACTTTTCCCGGCGAGGGCCGCCACCCGAGTCTCGTAGAACCAGGGGCCCTGGGAGGACGCGATAGCTCGAGAAACGCGGGTGGTCTGGATTTGGGGTCGACGTTCCGCCCTGCTTAAAACCCGCCGCGACGGGAGGGCACTATCAACTTGTCGGGCGAGCCCCTTGCGTGGGCCTTTACCCCTGCGGAGGAGACCAAGAACATCTCGACTCCTTTTGTGCGCAATGTGTGTTCCTTGGACTGCTGAGCCCAAGCGCCTCACTCACTGCAAATGAATAGTGGGTTCGTGCAAGACGAGCTAGCAAGAGCCTTGGCTCCCTTCAGTGATTGCTACTCGGCCGTGACCTGGAGGGTCGTGCGAATCCTCAGCATCATACGCAGGCACGCGTTTTCCAACCTGCTGGAGGCTTATCATGTCTATCTCGCGAGTTGCACATATCCTTATCACATTCCTCTCACATGGGTGTGCGCACCCACTCATGTCAGCCCACGCGTTACACGTGCGCGCGCCGTTCAGACTGGCTCAGACGATCCCACACTTTCTACTGTTTGAGCAACGGCAAAATGGCGATCGCCAACTTGACAAACCCGAGAGAAAAACGGAGTCGTCGCGGCATCTAGAAGGCCAACTTATGAGGAGCCAAAAACGTTCGACCCCAGCTGCGAGTGCAACCTGGGGTGCGGTTTTTCCTTGCCACGAGACCATCACCCTGGGTTGCACTGATTGCGGTTTTCGACAACCATCATGCGTGGTTGCACATATTTCGTTCATTGTTTTTCGACGTAGGAAGGAACCTTCACCCTTGGTTGCACGTATAATTTTTCAGGGGGTTCACCCGGGGTTGCACATCTAGGTTTTCCCAGGAACCCTCACCCCAGGTTGCACACGCATCTGGGGTTGCACGTTTTTCGCCTGCCTGCTCGTCCAACAAAAAACTTCTCACTTGGCGTGAACTTCAGCCGACGCGCTCATCAGGACGTGCTGCTGACGCGCAGAGAACATCAACAATCCGATGGGCCTTCGGGCGAGCCACGCTGCGCGCGCGATGAAGCCGCGCATCTGTTGAGCGAAAAGTGCTGCGATCCAAGCCACAGCTGCTCCCCGCGTTCTTGGCCGCCTCCAACTCTGCGACCATGTAGCCAGCGTAGACGTCAGCCGTGCGGCCCACCGCTTGGCCAACGCATGCGAGCGCGAGGTTTCCTGCCATGGCGGACCGCAGTGGGGGGCGATCCTGGGGCGGCTCCGCACGCGATGCGCAGCAGGTCGTTGTCTTCCAGGTCGACCGGGGCCGCGGCCCATCCAGCGCGTCGCAAGACAATTGCCAAGATACAGCATGGTGCTAGACCCCTCAACAGCCAGCTCTGCCACAACTACGCCGACTGCGCAGCCGCTGGGTTCCAAGGCGTTGCGCTAACCCATCGGTCGGAAAACATACGTAGAAAGAAAAAATAGGAAGGCGTTGAAAAAAGACTGGGTTCCGTCCACCCCGAAGGGGGACGGAAAAGGTGAAGCCACTCGATCATTGACGCAGAAAGGCGGTTAAAGTGGACTGGGATTTGGGAATCCAGAAATGCCGACTTTCAACGACCGACGGGTATACGTCATGCGCGATGGGTCGACGGCGCCGGACGACCTTGCATTCGTGGTCCCAAGTCCATGCCTCGACGTCTTCTTCAGGGCGCCGTTTTGGCGGAACAGGCCGCGCGCCCCCGCACACCGTAATTAATGCTCGCGCGCAGAGGTGCAAGAACGCCAGGCCGCGAGGTCGGCGCATGACTTCAGTGTTGGCGAGGCCCCCCGGGATGGACAGAGCCCCCTTTAGCAACACGCGGTTCAGTGAAAACGACCTCGGGCTCGAACCTGGCGGGCGCGAGCCTGGAAAGCGACGGCCGCGGCGCCCTCTCGAGACCCGAGACCGGACAATGCACTCATCAACGCGTCAGGGTGGGGGCTCCGTCCACCCCCGAAGACCCCTGCACGGCTGACGGAGAGCCCCGCCTCCGGACGCGGAGGCGCGATCGCCCGGTCTCGTCCATTTGTCTGCCCGGTGCAGCTTCAGTGGTGCAGCTCTGCGCCCACGGCCGCAGCGATTCGCGCCACTGCGGTCCGCGAGCTCCTCCTCCTTCTCCTCCTCCTCCTCCTCCTCCTCCTCCTCATCCTCCTCTTCCTTGAAGAACAAGCTAGAGGACAAGGGTGCGCCACCGGTTTGAAGTACAAGCTGGAGGACAAGTGCAGGCTTCGCTCCTAGCTTAAATTCCGGCCCTCATGTAGATGGGCTGTTTTTCTTCAGCAACTTCGTTTCCACGGAGGTCGTAATGCTGAACTGCAAGGCTCAAGTATGAGCAAGGGAGAAGGTCGCCACGTGGGGCAACAAACCACTTCCTCAACTCCTTCGGCGTGCTCCTCAGGGCTTTTGGCCAGGCAGGTCCGTCTGTCGCGTTGGCTACTTTGTCGGAATGTTCTTCGAGTTTTGAGGTCGCTCCTTCCTCTTCCTCCTCGCGCAAGGGCGCGGGGCGCCAAGTCGGCAGACACTCTTCTTTCAGGATGCGTGCTGGTCCTCCTCCTCCTCCTCCACCTCCTCCTCCTCCCTCCCCCCTCGATCTGGGCTCACAACGCTGCAGTCTATAACGGACGGCGTCAGTTCGCGACCAAGAGGCACGACGAGTTCCAGTGGCACGAGGCGCGTGGCACTGTTGCAGGGCAGAGCGAAGGGGGGCGGGGACGTCACGGAGCGCCTGGCGCTGTCCGTCACTCACTCCACCATGTCCTCCCCAGGTGCCTCTCGCCCGCAAGGCATTCGGGCATCGCGCTGTTTTGTTGCATCGCGGATGGCGCTGCTTCGCAGCGCAGACACAGCGAGCGGCGCTGCTACTCGCAGTGGTCATCCCTCCTCGTCCCCCCCACCTTCCTCTTCGTCCTGTCCCCCTCTTCCCGCTTCTCGGTATGCCCATCGTCGCCTTCTGGCTCACGATCGTAGCTGTTGCCGAAAGATGAGACGAGCGCGCGGTGCAAGGGCGAGAACCCAAGTTTGAAAACGACTGGCGCTCCGTCCTAACTGCTGCTGTAGCCAGAGATGTTTGAGCGCTGCGCTAAGGGAAACGCCCCACACTGAAAATGACTCGCCCCCCATGCCTCCAACTGCTGCAAGCTTCAAAACCAAATATGCGCGGCGCGAGAGCACGGGAGCCCCATTGGAAACTCGGCCAGGCCTCCATCCGGGTTTCCCTGAGCTAAGGAAGCCTCAAGCGAAATGCCCAGTGGTGCGACAGGGAGGAATTACCTGGAAAGACAAGCGATGGTGGGGGAACCTAAAGGCACCGATACCGCCGTTCAAACTAGAGACCAGAGGCGATCCCAGCTCTGCCGACGAGGGCCTCCCAGGAGGCCCTCAAAGGCGAAAACGAAGCCAGGGCACCGGTATCGGCACCTTTTCATCGGAGGACGCATGCGAGAAGATCCTCCGGCCCGTGCTCCTCCGGCCCGTGCTTCTCCCGCAACTCTGCACAGCTCCTCCTCGCTGCATCAGCAGAGCGCCAGAGGGGGGCCCGCGCCTGAACCGCCGCCCATGGAGGAGAAATGGAACACGTTGCCTGCGGGGCCGGGGGTCGAAAGCCGTGCAGGAAGGAGGATGAGGAGGAGGAGTGCCCAGGGAGGGAGAAGGCAGGAGGACGAAGGAAGAGGGAGATGTGGCTAGTGTGGGGGGACCAGAGAGAGGCCCGAGACTGCCGAGGCATCTGCAAAAAGTTCGGAGCGGGTCTCCGACGAACCCAGGCGGACACCGAGTCGGGGCACCGGCAAGTGCACCCCAGAAGATGCGAAGCAACGAAGCGGCACGAGCTGCCCAAAAAGACTGAATCTTCTGGCGGTGCGTCGCAACCTCTGCATACGTGCGAACACGTGCCCCAACAGACGCCATCGAGTAACAAGCCAGCAACATACGTGGGCCGACACACATATGTTCGGCGCCCGCCGAACCACCGATGGCGAGGAAACTGGTGATGCCTATGATAGAAAAAGGCGGGAGTGCACATCCTGAAGGGGGGCTTTAGGGGGGACTGGCCAAGGGGGGGGGGGGAAACATCAAGCCGGAATCGGCGAGACCTGGCCGATAGATCGGCGGTGGGCCCCTGACAGCGGGTCCGCACAGTCCCGGGCAGCATGGGCTGTGTCGGCCCACATCTGCGATGAAGTGGTGTGCTGGGGTCGATGCGTCCACCCGCTTCGGACTTTTTCGGGTGCCTCGGCAGTCTCGGGCCTCTCCATGTGGGCGACGTCCCCATGTGAGCATCTGCCCCCCAAACGTTGCCCCTGAATCTTGCAGGAGCGCCGGTCAAGAACGGGTCTTGCGCGAGGTGGCACGGCGACCTGACGCGGTGGCTTACGCGGGCCGCTGGCGCGGCACGCTACCATTGGAGACGAAGGCGCTTTCGCGCGAGCTTACGCAGGCAGCTTACGCGCCACTTGTCGGCGCAAGCGACCCCTTTTGTTTGCGTCGCCTACGTGGGGAGAGGACCCGCAGCAGCCACTGTCGCGGCCTGTGTAAGACTGGGGGCCGCGCAGGGCGGGCCCAGAGCGGCGTACAGAGCGGCCTGCAGCAAGCGAGCTCGTGGTCCTGCCCGAGGCGTGGGAGAGAAAGCGCATGCATCCGACTAGTGCCCAGCTCCACAGAAGCAGCTAGTCCGCGGCAGAGCGGTGAAAAAACAAATGACGCAACTACACGGCGGGCTCCAGAAACCCTGAGCCCCAGCAAAGTGTCATCTCATGATGACAGGCTTTTGCTTCCGCCAGCCTTTCGCCGACAGAGGCGGCCTCGCTTTACTTCCGGCTTCCCGAAGCCTTCCGCCGAGCAAGAGACCCAGACCCCCGACTTCGCATGACGTGATCCTCAGAAGTCATGACCCATCCCCTGGCACCGGTTTTGCAT